CAGCGAGGCTCAGCACAGCACTATTTCCGCGGACAGGAGACCAAAAGCAGAGGCAAGAGTCCTGCGTTTATTTCCTCGTGCCACCAGATTAAAATCTTGTTTCCCTGATTGTTAGGCATATTTGTCTTCTTCCGCACTTGCCTGTCCTTGTAGGGACCAAAACAAAGAAGGTGATGCAGTGTTAACTAACTTTTGGCCTCATGTGTTTTTGTAAATGTCATTCTTCTTCTGATATTGTAATATTCCCAGTGTCTCTTGATACATCCTATTTGTATAGCTGATAATGATCAAAACACTTTGTTATTGAGCTTTGTGGGTAGGTAGGTGCGGAAGCTCCAGACTTTGGGGAAATTTAAAATAAGCTTTTCGATCTGAGGAAACTTCCATTTTGTAATTACTAAAGTCTTCTGCCATCAGATAGAAAAAAGCCTGCAGGACGCCGTCCTGCCTGGAACAGTGTCAACTAGGTATGCGGAGACAGGTGTGCCCCTGCGATGTCACGGAGATCAGGAGTGAAGTTGTCAGTCTGTTTGTACGATTTCGTCTAGAAGGGGCCAAGCTGCAGAGTCTCGCTTCCTGACTACAGATTCCTCAGCACAGAGAGCTCAAACACTCCCTTCTCCTCGAGCCCCATAGCCACTGGAATTTGCCTCACAGCCCTGTGTGCTGTCGTGTTAAGAAATGCATTGCCAATAAACTGGGAGCCAGTGCCATCGACCATGCACGCTCAGCCCAGCGTAGAAGAGCACCGTGCACTGTTGGGATTTGGAGGAGAGGGGGTATGTCTCATCTGGAACTCCACCTGCGGATCAGCAGTCAGTCAGGAGGGAGTGAGTGAGCAGGTTGTGCATTTTCTACCAGAAGAAGGAATTTGCAAATGGGAATCGCTGAGGGAGATGGGAAATTGCTTCCATTTTTAGAGGGGCTTTTATAGGCCTGACTGCATATTATATCAGCATCCCCGTTGCTCTGGGTGTAAAAGTAAGATAAAGGGTCCTTATAATTGAGAAAGCAAAAGTGACGTCAGGTGAGTATAAGCTAAGCAGATGAACCGATCTACAAACGTGCTCTTAGTCGTGCTCCAGCACAGCCTCTTTTACTTGGAGTGAAGCAAAAGGAATATTTTGACCTTTTATTTTCCTTTGCAAAGTTGTTTTTTTATTGCGTTTATTGGTACATTCTTGGTAGACAGTACAGTTACATTCATTACTGGGATCTTGTACCTTTACATGACACATTTTTCCCCTTGTCCCCACCCTCCCGGATATGGACATTTTTCTCTCTTCTGTTGGTCTCAGTATACCTCAAGGCGCCAAAACTACAGGGAAGAAATGGACCCTGTTGTCTTTTTAATTTTTCTCTGTAGCTGTGCTGTCTTATGTAGTAGCCTCTAACCACATGTGGACATTTAATGCAATTTACTTACAGTGAATGAAAACAATTAAACTTAGGCTGGACTCCATATGGATCCTCTGCTCCTGAAATCCCCTTTTCACCCACTCAGTAACTACGTGCAGTTAGAGGCAATTGTGACGGTGCTTCTGCCCCGCGTCATTATTTAAGCACAGTCACAGTGAGGGATTCTAAGCAGAGATGCAGGCATCTGAAGGTGTCATGTTGTCTTCTGGTACTGGAAGTCCAAAGACGTGCATGGCAAATTTCAAGTAGATAATGAACTCTGGTTTATTCCTTTTCCTTTATGTCTCTCCTAGAGCGTAGTGGGTGAAAGTGAGCCAAACGTTTACTGGAGCAGTGCGGGTAGTGAATCTTTTAAACCTAGTGGGTTACATTTGCTCTCAGTTCTTGTCATTGTTCTTTTTGATCTTCCTCCCTTGAAGGTAATATTTAAAAAGTTCCAAAACATAATTGGCTCCCAAGGGCCATGCCAAAAACTTGTGTCCAAAAATTCCCTTAGGTCAGTGTTCAAAATATTTGTGATTTTGGTTCATGTATATACATAGTTCACGCTATCTGTGAATTGCCTTTGAGAACCAGAAAGGTGACACGATGACATGTGTGTGACAGGAGGATAAACAGCTGGAGGAAAAAAAGCTGTGATATGAATGCAAGCAGCGTACCTCAAGCCCGTATACACCTTCACCCCCATCCATGCTGCATACTAGATGGAGACAGTTGAACATTTTTGGTAGATAGGATGTGGATATAAGACGAAGTATGGATGGGAGAAAAGCGACCTGTGACGAGAGAACAGAGACATAGGTGAACTGAGCCCTAGCACATTAAGTGGTGACCTGGCATTGAGAGGGTCCAGCCATGTGTCTGTCTACAGAGGCCCATCGGAGGGACAAGACTCAGCAACAGGTGTGGACCGAGCTGGAACTGCTGGGAATTAGATGCACATCAACTGTCACGGTCTTCCTTCTCTTTCTGCTCACAGTGCATGTGACCTTAGATGCATTACTTCAGTGATGGCTGCACAAACCCTGTGACGACCCTTTGTCCCTCTTGAGCATTTGTCCAAGTATTACGTCAAAGCACTGACTGTGGCAGAATTCACATATAAACATTTTCTATGTTTCAAAATGTACTAGGATGTCAGTAATCTCATTAGGATCTTATGTACTGTTACAGTTTATCCACACTACAGAAACTATTCGATATTTACACATGTGTGCCTTATTTATTTCACTCAGGAGTATATCTTCAGTATGTATCCTTTTTCCTACGAATGAATCTATGTTCTCATTCTTTATGGCTGAGTAATATTCCATTGTATAGAAAAACCACATCTTCTTCTTTTTTCAGCTTTGAGTTTATTGGTACATTTTAGGGATACAGTATAGTTACATTCATTGTTGGGAATTTGTTCTTCTACATGACAGGTCTTGGTTCTCATTTTTTGCCCTTGTCCCTGCCCTCCCTTCACTCCCTCTCCCCCTCCCCATCTACAAACACTTTATTTCCATCTTTTCATTATCTCACATTTTTTTCTTTTCCCTTATTACCCTTCCCCTACACATGCCACCTTCCCTACAACTTCAGCTCCTTTCTTCCCATTTCTAAATGTCAGTAATCTTATTAGGATCTTCTGTATTAGTGCAGATTATTCACACCAGAGAGACTATTCGGTATTTACACATGTGTGCCTTATTTATCTTACTTAGGAGTATATCTTCAATATGTATCCATCTTCCTATGAAGGAATCTATGTTCTCATTCTTTATGGCTGAGTAATATTCCATTGTATAGAAAAACCACATCTTTATCCAGTTTCCAATTGATGGGCAAATGGGCTGTTTCCAAATTTTAGCTATTGTGAAATGGTAAGAAAGGGGCAGAAGGTGTAGGGAAGGTGGGATGGGTAGGGGAAGGGTAATAAGGGAAAAGAATAAAATGTGAGATAATGAAAAGATGGAAATGAAGTGTTTGTAGATGGGGAGGGGAGGAGGGGGTGAAGGGAGGGCAGGGACAAGGGGAAAAATGAGAACCTAGACCTGGCATGTAGAGGTACAAGATCCCAACGGTGAATGTAACTGTACTGCATCCCTGAAGTGTACCAATAAACTCAATTAAAGCTGAAAAAATGTGCTAGAAGACTCTCTAGAGTGGTCATACAATAGGGAGAATGTTCCTTCTAAAGAAGACAAGGAATAATTATGTCCTATGTTATGCTATTTTGTGTGTGTGTGTGTGTGTGTGTGTGTGTGTGCAAGTTGGATGAATTACATCAAGCTTATTATAATAGTCATCACCTCACATCTGTACATACTGTGTGTGGAATAGATCTCCAATCCTAACTCCTCTTATGTAAATGGGAGTTTGTACTGTTTGAGCCCGGCCTCCCTGTTCATTCCCCTCAGCCTCTTGTCACCTATGAACTATGATTTAGGAAGCTAATCCACCAGGAACAGACAGTTGGATTATCACAGCTGTGTACCCAGCAGTGCACACTAAACCATCTGTCTGTCCATAGCCTCTTACAAACTTCAGTTGGGAATTGATTGTTACCTCTTTGATTTTGTTGGTCGTTTAAACTTCTGCTTTCAGGGGGAAAAAACCAACCCCCCATCTGTTGTGGGTTGTGATATTATAGGGTGATCAGGGAAGCTGGTAGGAGCTAACTTGTTGAAATCCCCTGGCTTTCCTATAATTATGACAACCTACACTGGCTTCCGCATCTCGGGCTGCATGCCTTGGACTCGTCACACCAGGTGGAGACCGCTGCGATCTACTCTTAGAGGCCTCATCCTCTTATGTTCCAGTACTGATGTCTGTCCATGTGTTAATTAAAAGGGGAAAAAAAAAAGGAACTCCCAACTACCATGGGGAGTGCAAGAAGTCTTTCTGGAGGAGGACACAATTAAGCTGGGTCTGGATGAACTAATTCAACCAGATTTCCCAAATCTAAAATGTCAGGCAACGGAGGGTACGGTGTAAGAAAAAGGCCTGAATAGGGGAAAGGTAATAAGGGAAAAGAAAAAAAAATATGACAAAATGAAAAAAAATGGAAATGAAGTGTTTGTAAATGGGGAGGGGGAAGAGCGGGTGAAGGGAGGGCGGGGACAAGGGGAAAAAGTGAGAACCAAGACCTGTCATGTAAAGGTACAAGATCCCAATAATAAATGTAATTGTACTGTATACCTAAAATGTACCAATAAATCCCATAAAAGAACAAAAAAAGAAAGAAAGAAAAAGGCCTGAATATTATATCTGAATACTGAGCACCTGGGAGAGTTGAAATACAGGATTGCTATATGAGCCTCAAGGGGGTGTATGTAGATCAGCCCGAGATATGGCCGGAATTTCCAGAGTGGCCATTTTTACTGCCTATCTTTTGTGTGTGCGGGGTGGGGGGGGGCGGTTGAGACAGGATCTCACTCTGTAGTTGAGACTGACCTGGAACTCCCTGCGTAGCCCAGGCTGGTCTCGAACTCGCAGCGATCCTCCTTGCCTCAGCCTCCCGAGTGCTGGGATTACAGGCATGCGCCACCACGCCCAGCTATGAGAGCTTGTGAGGGTGGGCCTTAGAACGTCTGTCAGAGGCGCTGCGTTCTGTGTCCAGGACCGTTAAACTGTCAGTTGTGCAGCTGGGCTTCCGTAGCTCATTCCCCAGCAGGACCTGGGAATATGGCGGCCGCTCCATTGGTGATCTCTGAGTGTGAGTCCAGGTTGATTCGGCAGGGGTGGTTTGTTTTGCGAATTTTCAAGTTGGGCAGAGGTTCTACTTTACATAACAGCGTGAGGAGTCCTTCAGGTCATTTTGTTTGTGAAAATGTTACTCTTTGACCGCACCGTTCGTGATCCTGTGGTTGTAATTTTGAACATGAAGAGACAGCGGATGGTTAAGGTTGAGCCCGTGTCAGGTCGGGACCACACAGAGGCCTTCGCGCCCAGGGATGTGGGAGCTTTCTGGGCCCGGAAGGGGACCGGTCAGTTTAAATTTACTTGATGTTGATTCTCAGTTGGTGTTTCGCCTCGCGATTTTGATTGGCCTGGCTATCTAGGGTGGTCTATTTTCCTAGCAGAAGTGATGCTAAGAGATGTGTCTCGCGGGCTTCCAGACTCATGTCCAGGAAAGTCCGTAGCTCTCTTGGCTTCCGTGTTGTACCTTACGTAGCAACACGCTGAGCCTTTCAGATCATGTTGTCTGGCGAAATATTGGTCGGAGATCCCCTCCTTTAAAATATTTGGGGATTGTGTTGTTTTGACATGAAAGTGAGGAAATAGTTGATGAAGTTGGCTGAGCAGGTGTCAGCCCAGGACCAAAATGGCCCTTGGCCACTAGAGACCATCCGCGTTCTGCTTTTCTTCGCCGGGGTGCTGGCGTAGATATTGTTGTCACTTATTTATTTAAATTTTGGTTTTGGTCGCTATGATGAGATTTGTCGTGAGAGACCATTTGTACATTATTTTTCCCTGCAAAGGAGCACAGTAACTTGTGGAGAGATCTCTCCTGGGATTTGGACTGCTTATGATTGTTAGCTGCCTTGGAAAAGGGTTTGCGTTTTCTGTACCAACAGGATAGTATGATTGGTATCATTGATTTACGGTTTACAATCTGTCTTCATTTAATTTGTTTAAAGTTTGCAATTGGTCTTCTTGGTTTGTTGCCTAAGGAAGGAAAAGTTTGCTATTAATATCAGTGTAAAAGTAAGAAAATTGATAGTCTACTTGTTCACTGACCACCAAGAATCCCCTGGCCCTTGTCATGGAACTCTACTGTGCACTTTCATGCAATGTACTTGTGTAAGATTGTTATATTCAACCAAGTGATATCCTTAAAAAAAAAAAAATGGTATTATTAACCCTTTATGTATTGGTCAGCGGGGAGCTGCTTGGCAAGAGTTTGTTCCTTCAAGACCCTGAAATTCTCAGGGCTCCTATTTCTGGTATCATTTCACAATATAATTGTTTACAATATAACTAAGTCACACGTACTGGTGTCAAATTGCTAGCTAGCCCACACTTTCATTTTACTCGATCGTGTGATTGTTTTAATATAATTACTGATACTGTCATATATGTATAACTTATTCCGTAAATCTGGCTAAACTAAAGAGAGTTTGGAGATATTTTGTGAGTAAAACTGCACTTTGACCCCGTGTTTATTGATTTCTGACAGTGAATACCCTGTCATGTTGGTAACTTGTCCTGCTCAGCATGATTTAGCATCTCATTTCAGACAGGACCTGCATGCTGTATTTCAGGTTATTAAATCGAATTGTGTCAGCGCTGCTTTGCATAAGTTCTCTTTGAAAATCATGGAGAAAGTTTAATTGAAAAGTAACAGATGCACAGGTCGAGCGTTCTTCATTTTCTGGGAGTTGAAGATAACTGCAGATCAGATGTCACATTTAAAATTTTAATTATCTTATGGCTTGGTGCTCAGAATCAAGTTCAAGCTGTCACGTATGCTATGCATGTGCTCTACCACTGATGTAGAGCCCCAGCCCACAGTTAAGTTTTGAGCCAAAGTTGTGTATTTCATGTACTGCTTTTCTTTACATTCGAGTTTAGCCTCTACTTGCAGGAGTTGCATCTTTTAAAAATGACTCCTGTGCTTTCTGTGTGTAAGCAAAATAGAGAAGCAAGGTCTTGGGCCAGGCAGAACAGGACAAGAACGGGGTGGAAGGGGCTGCTTCTCCCCTATTCTGGCATGTACTGTTCCCTCCCCTTTGGCGCCTAGCTGATTGAATCATAATGTCTGAAGACCAGCATAGAGGGAAATGAGATGGGAAATACTTGCCTCTTTGCATTCATAGATCTATGTCTATATCTATATATCTGTAGTCAGTGTAATGTTGTTTCAAAAATTCCTATACTGGTGACCATCAGTGTTCTCTAAATATTAGCTAACAAATTTATATTTACAAATGCAAAGACTGATTGCTTGTTTTTCGATTTTACTTTATATATATGTGTGTGTGTGTGTATATATATATATATATATATACACATATATATTATATTATGAGCAGAAATATAAATTTCACAAACTGAGTTCTTAAGCGGCCTCATGTTTTGTTTTCTAGCAGATTCCTAGATAAAAAATATCTGCAAAATGATGTTGCAAGTTACTTTTATGACACGTTCATTGTTACTTGTTTTACATTGTTCATGCTGGGCAGAGGTCAGCAAGCATCTCCTGTCACCTATATCATCTTTTCCAGTGGTGTGGAGAGGGCTTCACAGAATCTCTATCTTAGGCACCCCTGAGCAATGCTAAGATTAGTCCATGGGCACTGCATGGTTCCCCATGGAGAGAACCTGCCAGACAGTGACTTCTTCCCATCACTGTCTTCCTGTGCTTAATGTGCTTGCCAGGTAACAGGCACATTGACTGTTTTTGAATTTTCTCATTTTTAGAAACCTGAGCCTAACAATTTATCACGAAAGTTTTATTCTTTTCATCATATCTGGAAATTCTTTCAATAGAAGGTAGACTGCCCTGGAATTTCCAGATGAACTCCAGGAATGGGATCCTAGAAGTGCTGCTGAGGTTTCTCTACTGTGAGCAAGAAATGAAGGTAATTGGGATCTTTACTCTCTGTGTAATAGCAAAGCTGGCACGCGTGGACCAAGTGGAGTGGGGAATGTAGCCTGTGCTCTGAAGGGAGGCATCTGTTTGGCAGGAGTCTCGGCTACAGTGGCTGCCTGTGACACAGTACATGGACCAGTAATCCTTCAAGTCTTCATCCCTCCATGCATCGTGGCCAATTCTCTGCTTTGAAAATACTTCAGTCTCCAGTATGCGAGTCTCACTGTCCCACAAATAATTCTGTGCGTATTTTAGCCTCTATTCCCTAACTGCCACAGTGGGAATCATAGCTTTTATTTGAGGCATAATGAGAGTCATGTAACATCCTCCGTGAGATGTGTCCAACACACATCTGGTGCCCATGGCTCTAATGTCTCAGTTCCAGAACGGCAAGTATTGGAAAGAATGTTGGGGCGGTTGGTTTAACTCCTTCTCTCACCTCTGCAGGTCCACTCCTTTGGAGCTCAGTAAGCTTTGCCATGATGTCAGTTCTATATATATATTTGCTTTTCTAGGGCAAGAAGGACTCCTCTGTGTGTACCTGAACATCTTCGAAGCCACCACACTGATCCTCCTGTGAACACAGAAAGAGCCAGGATCCTGGGTTTGTTCATCTTCTCAGACTCATCCTGTGGTGCCCAGCTTAGATTGTTCATATGGAGTCGGACAGGGCTCAGCAACCCCCCCCCAAAAAAAAAATAAAGACTTGTTAGCCCTTCTCAACTGCGAGGTCTGGCAGGGCCCGTTACCCGGCAGCAGCAGAGAAGTTTCTGCTCATGTTTTCATTGTATGAATTCACTAATATTCAGGGTGTGCTAATAATGCATAGACACTCAAAGGGTGAAATCTGACAATTTGAAAGGGAAAAATGTACAGTCATCTTTAAGGTATTCTCGGAGTCTTTTACTTTGGATTCATTGGATGCCTTCTAATCCTCTCATATTCTAGGGGCAGGACTTTTATTCAAAAGGCGGCGTGAGAGGCGCTGAAGTTTCTTGGCTCTGAAATTGCAATGTCTCCTCTGAAGTGTGTAGCTTTCACCCAAATCATTCACAATTTCTTTCTTTCTGTTCCTTTTTTTTTTTTTTTTTTTGCTGGGAATGGATTAAATAACTGGAAATACTTAGATAGTTATGGTCTTGGGATTTTCCTACCCAATGAAAAACTAAGGCCTCTGACACCACCAAATATCTGCTCCCACACTCATGTTTCTAAGGGTGACAGAGTGGCGATCAAGGGCAGCCCATTGCGTTTTCAGAAGCAGTTGTGACACTGAAGTGGAGCTGGGCCTCCTCCCCTCTGTGCTAAACACGCCCTGGATTCCTCTGCCTCTGGTGGCACAGTCCTCTGATTCACTGTGTCGTGGTGGGTTGAGATGCTGCGGGGAAGCCTGAACTGCATGGTCTCATGGGCAATTCTGCCGGGCATTGGCTTTCGGGAAGGAGTCTTGAGGCAGAGGGATCTTCTCTAAAAGGACACGCGCCTTTTCAGAAGTCCGAGTGGCTCTTTGCTCATGGAACTCTGCATGAAGTACATTATTAGCCCAGCCTTGACACTTGTTTGCTCAGGCATGTTGGGGAGAAGGCGCACTCACTAGTGGGAACAGTAAAGTACCGCAAACTCTTGGTGTGACGTGGTCCGGGACAGACTCAGGTTTCTCTCAAACTTTTGCCAACTACTCCTGAAGTTTAATAAAAGAATGGACTATGAAGAATCATTGAAAGATGTATGGAACATATTATTGCCTTGCCCTGGTGCCCGATCCAAAATGTTGTACTGCATAGACTCAGTCCAGGTTTACGTAGCTCCACATCGTCTGGTGTTAATCACAGAACACCTAAAGCCTTGTAAATTTCCCTGGTATAGCAGCACAGGTTTTGCCCATGCTCTGCAGTCTGTTTGCCTGTGTACATCCCAAGTCCAAAAAGTCTTTTTAACTGTGCTTTTGCACCTTGAAAAGGAAGATTTTTCCTGAATCAATAAACTGTCTCCCATTTCTTCTGTGTATGGTGATGCAGAGATCACACAGGCAATGAGTAGCAATAAAAATAATACAATACACTGGCGGGTCACCACAGGTTATACTAAGTGAATTTCATGTAATTTTTTTTCAGCCACTGTCATTTACTGCGAATTAGAGGCTCAGAAGCAAAGAGGGCTGCTCTAATGGGGAAACATGGAATGCCCCATTGCCTCTGGCCCCTTGTTCAGCGTGGCACAGTGTAGGGGACGAATGGTCTGGCGGTAGTAACTGCACTGTGCAGAGCTGCTCTAGCTCACTGAGCACAAGGAACTATGCTGTTAAACTTGTGACAGACATTGTTTATTCAAGGCAGTGTCTCCTGCCCCTTCCTCATACCTTCATGACAGTGGTGGGCATCGTGAGTGTGAAAGGAGAAGTATGCCCTTGTGGAATTGAGAGATTTTCCTACGGTCCTTATGCTCCCTTCCCTATGAGAATGGGCGTAGTATGGGGATCGGGACGCTCTTGACAGCTTTGCAATGTCTCCGTTATTTTGTGTATGTGTTCCCTTGTGAAAAATGCTTCATGGAGAGGTGGCTTGTGTCTCTGTCACAGGGTTCTGGAATCGGAAGTTTTGTGAGAGCAAGTGCTATTCTGTGGACCACCTGCCAGTGATTGAGGTGAATACTTCACTCTCAAATATACAGTGAGCAGTGGTGACCAGGGGAGACTCAGGGAGGTGAGCTGCCTTTGAAGGAATGTCTTTCCATTAGTGTCCCAGATGCCATGTGGAAATGCCTCAGATTGCCCTTGGGAGGTCACAAGTGAAGAGTATATTGGCAGATTCCAGGTCTTGGGATAGGATAGCCCAGATCAAGGGAAGTAATTCAGGGTGTCCTGCTGTCAGGGTTCTGTGCTCAGAGATGGTGTTTAGAGCAGAATGGTTTCCGGGACACAGAAGCATGTAGTGGCAGCAGTGGCGAGGTCTCCTAATTCGCAGAAGGGGCGTGCAGTCGGAGTATTGTCCAAGCCTGCATCTGGCATCTCATCTTCCCTCAGTCTTCTTTTGTGTGTGTGCCACGTGGTACTGAGAAGAATAAAATTTTCACCATTTTATAGTGATCAAAGATGAACTGAGGGGGGTTTCATCCTCGTGAGCTTCTTCAGGAGAGCCTAGGTGTCCAGCACCTTCCTGTTTCAGTGCCTCCTGTGGGCAGGACCGCATTGTCCCCATTGACAGGGCACAGACATTGGGGCCATAGCATTCACTTTCCCTGTGCCTGTGCTAGAACCCTGTGTGGCTGATTGGGTTAAACTCTGTTCCCATTGGGTCTCGTCAGGGGCTGACCGCGTTGCTGCACAGTTGCACACAGGGCCTGGTGGATTCTACAGTGAGAGACTGAGGCCTCCTGTACCATACACAGCCACTGAGGCTCTGATGGGGGAGGTGGAATTGCAGTTTGTGGGAGAACAGGCCCAATGGTTTTCCTGTCAATTTATTTCAAGGAAGCTTATTTGGTAGTTTTTTCACTTCTTTCTCAGCATTTCATATTCCACTCCGAAAACATGTGAGGAAGTGCTGAGAATCTAGTTCAGTTCCTGCCTTCGGTCTTGGGTGTTTTCCGAACAGGTTCAGTTCTTTGCTTCTTGGCTTTACAAGAAGGCTTGGGATATTTTTCAGTCCTTTGGTCTTGCAGGGAGAAGCTTCGTGATGTTGGCTCCAAACTTTTCAAGCATGGTCTGTGTGGTGTACTTCAGCCCCATATCGTCAAGCTCCTGGTTAAGTTTTGTTTTGTTTTGTTTTGTTTTGTTTTTTCGTCCTTTCCCTAGTATTTCTTCCAGAAATCCGTTCTTGCAGACAAGTCAGGACTTTCTCTCAGTACTCAGGCTCATAGGCTGTCATAAACTTGTCGCCTGTGGATGGTTTCCCTCATCTCCCAGCACGCTTTCTTGCAGAATGCACGGTACTTAAATGTCTTTTTACTAATGTGTCAAGTATGCTTCTGCTGAGATACCTCTGCTCTGTTAATTTTTACCCAATCTGCCTTGGGCTCTCAGAGATCCGTGGCGATTGCACCCAGGCAGTCACGTCAAAGGCCTGTGCATGGTACTTGGGTCCCATGGGTGCAAGCAGCATTCTCAGGCTAGGGGAGCCTTCTGCTGGCAGCTCTTCACTCAGACGTTTCGGGGTCTTTCTCTGTGCCCTATCAGCCCACGAACCGGCGCCAACTACGTGGCTTCATCCTTTTAAAACATTTATGCTGAATGATGCGTTGCCCTAGTATAATGTAAAATTTTTTTAAAAAGCACATTTGGATTTCTTGTGATCATCTGCAGAATCCTGGGTTTTTTGTTCAATGTTGCTTTTTTGTTTTTCGGGGATAGTCTTTAGCCAAACAACTATTGACTTATCTCGAGAAAATGTCCTTTCATTATATATTAAATGTATCTGACCTTATGACTTTGGATTTGGTAAAATATTTGTGCTCTTTGCATAAAATATGGTGGACATACTTTCACACACCTATGGGAATAGTAACAATGAATAAAGTGTAATCCATGACGTTGTGATTCTTGCACGGGCATGGAAACATGAAGTGGGTTTGAAACTCAGAGTTCTACAATTTGTGCTGTCCCCATCAGGGTTTTGCTAGCCAGGTTTGGGAGTCTCACGCAAGAATTAGGTTTTCTCCTTTCCAGTGAAGTTGGGTAGCAGGTGATCTTGTATCTCTACACAGGAATCCTTTCTTTTGGCCACATGAGGAAGATTCCCATGCATCTTGGTAAAAGGCTTGGCCTCTCGGGAACCTCCAGATCGGCGTAAAGATGGCACAGGTGGAGACACCAGCGAGGCTCAGCAAAATAGTACATCAGAGGACAGGAGACCAAAGGTAGAGGCAAGGGTCCTGTATTTATTTTCTTGTGCCACTAGAATGAAATCTTGGTCTTTGATTGTTAGACATATTTGTATTATACCACACTACCTATCCTGGTAGGGAGCAAAAGAAAGGAGGTGATGCAGTGTTAAATAATTTTTAGCATCATCTGCTTTTGAAAACACTGTTTGTTGGCTGATGTTAGTGTTTCTAAGTAATACGTATTGATACACATTGATTCTGTATACTTTAAACAATTTCTTAATGAGCAGCTTTCCTACATAGTGGCAGGAGTCCCAGACCCTGGGAAATTTCAAGTACGTTTTTTCCTCAAAATGGAATTTCCTATTAAAGTCTTCTCTGACCAGCCAGAGAAAATGACAGTGGGACAAAATCCTGCGTGTGACAGTGTCAACTATGTAGTTGGAGTCAGATGTGCCCTGGGACAGCATGGAGGTCTGGGGTGCAGGTGTCAGGCTGTTTGTAGCATTTAGTGTAAGAAGGGTCCGAGCTGCAGGGTCTCACTTCCTGCCTGAGCATTCCTCAGCACAGAGAACTCAGGCACTCCCTTCTCCTCATGCCCCATAGCCACTGGAGTTTTCCTTACTGCTCTCTGATCTCTCGTGTTAAGGAAGACGTTGAGCAATAGCCTGGGAGCTACTGCCATCCCCCATGCATGCTCACCCCAGCACAGAAGAGCACAGTGCACTGTTGGGATTTGGAGGAGAGGGTGGTAGATCTCACCTGGATTTCCACCTGAGGATCAGCAGGCATGAGGGAGGGCGTGAGCAGGTAGTGAGTTTTCTACCAGAAGAAGGAATTTGCAGCTGGGAATCACTGAGGGATCTGGGGAGTTCCTTCCATTGTTAGAGGGCCTTTTATATTATATCAGCATCCCCATTGCTCTGGG